CACACACACACACACACACACACACACACACACACAGAGAGAGAGAGAGAGAGAGAGAGAGAGAGAGAGAGAGAGAGAGAGAGAGAGAGAGGCAACATTGCCAAGTTCGCCGTTCCCATGGAATTGGCAATGTCGTCTCTGTTCTAATTTTAGAAAAAGCCATGATTGTTTTACCTCCACGTGTGAGCCATCAATGCAGGTAAAGCTGAGCTGACTGAGCTAACTCAACCCATCAGCATGCATTTCTCCATAACCATCGCCCTTCTCCTTCTCCTCATACCCCCCCCCGACGACTCCTCGCCCTCCTTTCTTCCTGCTCCTCCCCTGCCTCTCCTCCTCCTCCTCCTCCTCCTACTCATCCGCGTATGCTTCCTACCCGTCCTCTTCCGTCTCTTCCTGCTCCTCCCCTGGCTGCCCTCCTCTTCCACCTTCTTCTTCTCCTCCTCCTCCTCCTCCTCCTCTTAGTGTTCCTCATCCTCTCTGTCTGCTCTTCCTTTACCTTTCCCCCTCTTCCTTCTCCTCTTCCTCCTCCTCTCCATCCTCTTGATTCTCTGCATCGCTCTACTATGCCATGATAGTCTGAGTACGTCCGACCCTTCTCTTCCTCATCCCAGGGCGACCTCTGAGTCCTTCTCCTCTTCCGAGATCCTCCTCCCTCCCCTTCTCCTCTTCCGAGATCAATCTCCCAGGGTGACCTCTAAGTACGTCCAACCCTTCTCTTCCTCATCTCCCAGGATGATAGCCATTTTGTCATAGTCCGTGCCTTCCTGTATTTGAAATCCTGCGTGTCCTAACTGTTGACGTCATCAATAACCTCACAACCCCATTCGTTTCAAGCGTCATAATGTATATGCTTTGATGACTGCCACGTGTCCTTCTGTCGCAACAAAGCGAAGACAAGGACTTCCCGGGATGTATATATCTGAAGGGGGGCTGCTCGGTTCATGATGTCTGTGATGCCTGTGCGTGATGACGGATGCTCGTCGGAGTGACTCCCTGGCTCAGTGGGTGGTGGGAACCAACAGTCTGCGGGGTTCAATCGTGATGTGAGTAGGTCATGTGCTGCTTTGCTCTGTGTTGGATGTGTGGACGTCCTCGTCTGCGCTCCACCGCTGCCCTGCTCCCTGTCCTGCTTGCATCGCATGTGGTTCTTTGCAGGTTGATGTGTTCACTGTGTGGTGTGGCCGTGTTGTTGGTGTTGCATTGCGCTTCGCTGCTCCACTGCCGTGCTGCTCATCTGCTGGCCGTGCCTTCCTTGTTTGGCGCTTGTGTGCCCTGTAGGTTGGTTGCCTTGTTGCTGGTGCCATGTGCTCCGCTCCGTCCGCTCTCTCTCTCGTCCCCTGCAGTGGTGTTGCCTTGCTTGTGTTGTCTTGTGCTTCACTACACGGTTGCCGCACTGCATGCCCTGTGTGCCATGTCGTTCCTTGCAGTCGTTTTTGGCATTGTGCAGCTGTGTTGCCTCTACTGTGTGGCCTGGTGCTCCAATGGGTTGCTGCCCCCTGCTATGTTCCACTTGGGGATAGTCTGCCTTCAACAAAGGGTTCATGACCCAAACCATCAAATACGGAGATTCCGCAGATTGTCGAGGGTTCAGCCTCCTGATGAGTCAGTGGAACTCCGATAAAACAATCTATCATCGATGTATATATCTCATAACAGTTTTACGGCCGGGGCGGGCCTGCATGCCTCTGTCTCACCGCAGTTTTTTTTTTTTTTTTGACAAAATGCTCCAATCTATTCGTAGGGAGTCAAGCAATTCATTAGTAGTCGGTTTCTCTCATCAAGTTCCCTCATCTGGATTCGAACACAGGTCTGTGTTTCAACAGTTCATGGGTGTACCCACTGAGCTAGGCTCTTGGGTACGGGCATTAATTTTGTCGCTTCCTCAGAATGGTTATGGGAGTTGTGACAACGGTCACAGTGCACAGTCCTATTCTCAGAATGCTAAGTGTTCTGACTCCTGAGAGTGCCTTTAAGACTGCTCAAAAATGCTTAAGGAAGTGGGACTGGGGACTCAGAGTGCTTCGTGGCGCTCTGCTGAGAGAGAGTCTGAGACTGCACAGCAGCACGCAGATCTGACATGTGGCTACCTTAGTTGACTGTACTTGCATGGCATCCCGACTGACCATGTCAGATCTAAGGTAAGGTAGCCACGTGTCAGATCTGCCCATGTCAGATCCTTAGGAGAGGGGATATCTGAGACTGCTGCCCATGATGGGGTGGGTATGGGTTTAGGGTGGGGAAGTGTACCGCCTACCATGAGCTCTCAGAGACTCTCCGGCCTCAATGTTGTATGAACGTATGTGCTTAGTACAGCTGCTGTCCACTGCCTGCAGACAGGTGTTACATGCAGCGCGTGCACACGCGGGCCATTTTGCAGGCCCGATTGGATTCAGGCCAAAACCCTGGATTTCAGGCCGAAAGCCTGAAATTCAGGGCTTACAGGCCCCATTTCGGTTCAGACCGAAAGCCTGACTTTCAGGGCCTACAGCCCCTGCGACGGTTCAGACTAAAAAGGGTAGTAGCATTTTTAGCCTGAACCCAAGGGCCATTTTTGGTCGTTCATCAGAACGACCGGCCCTGAAACTCAGGCACCGAACCAGGGTCTTGGGAACAGCCTATATTTAGACTGTTCCCACGCCTGCCTCAAGCAGGCTGCTGCACGCCAGCCCCTGGCACACTTCGGCATTGGCAAGAGCTGCCTCCTCGGCCTCCGCGCGCTCCTGCAGTCAGGAGGCAGGCCGAGGAAGTACTTCCCAGGCACTTCACGGGTAGGCAGTTCGGCAGTTGTAGTCTTCAGGATTCGGGAGCAGCACTCTGGAGGGAGCGCTGCGTTGTAGTAGAGTAGCGTTAGCTAGTAGTCTCCAGCGCTGGGCGCAGTAGGTAGCTGTAGTCTTCGGCGCTGGGCGCCATAGCTAGGTAGTGGTAGAGATGATGGGCGGAGGCCAGGGATCACTTACCTGCAGCGCCGTTGCTCCAGCTCCGTCTTCGAGGTACCTGCAGCACAGCGCCAACATCACAGGTTAGTACCTGGTTCGTAACAGTGAGAGAGAGAGAGTTCTCTTCTTCCTCTTCTCARTCCCCCATCTTCTTCTTACCCTCTCAACTTCTGACTTCCCTGCAGTTGYAGACTACGAGAGAAGAGATACCGGGCTTGGTGACATATGATCCAGACTCGACTTTTTTTGGGGATTCAGACATGGCAACGAGGGACTATTTGGGATTGGTGACCAAGACTTGGTGTTAACGACATTCCCATCTTTCTCGCTCCTTTCGTCTGATCCTTATCTCTTCGTCTGTGTATGTCTGGACCTGGTGCTTGCTTCCTGTGTTACAGCGCAAGGCTCCTTCACACTCGGTGATGGAGACAATGCATGTTTAGTCTGAGTTCAACATTGATTGGGTTAGTTAGTAGCACTCTGGCATTCTGCTTCRTTACTCCGAACTACGTGARTGAKGTMAGTCCTGTCAGGTCAGTCTTTGTATCAAGTCTTCCCTGCGCTCTTCAGCATCTTTATGTATGAATGAGAATGTACATTGCTGGTCGAGATTCTCGTAACCGCATTGTCTATTCAGTCCTTTTGATCACATTGCAGATTCTCGGTTTATTGCATACATTGCATATTTGTGCATGTAACAGTTGGTATCGGAGCTTTTGCACGTGAATCAGGACGATCTGATCTGACACGTGTGCGGGGATCAAAAAGCTAGTTAGTCTTTTCTGTTGATTAGGACATACTAGTTAGACCCCAAAATCACGATCTTGACCTTACTACAAAAAAAAAATCAAAATTTTTTCTTTTCTCGGATTTTATTTTCTCGCTATTCTGCTGTGGAAAATCACTATATCGCAACATCTGAAATTCCTATTTTCGTTTTCCTTTCTGAAAATTCGAAATTTCGTTGTTAAAAATCCCGAATATATTTCTTTTTGAAAGTTTTGATTTTCTGTTGCATTCCCGTTATTTAGAACTTCGGAATATATTCTTTTCTGAAATTCGTTTTTTCGAAACCGGTATGGGAAATACCTCCTGCACGAATTATTTTTTTTAATTGCGAATATTCCCATCGGAATAAATCCGAATACTTGTCCTTTCTATTCTTATAACTTTTTTTTCGCAGTTCTTGGATTCTGTCAGTTGGTTCTATAAATCGGTTGCAGTTTAAAGTCGAAATTTTTTTCGTACTTCAAGGGAGATTGGGAGACCTACCGAACTTGCAAAAAAAGTCGGGATTTCTTATTTTCTTGAAAAAAAAAAAAAAATTGCAAAGCTCAGACTTTTCTATTTTGATTAGTGACTCCTTATCTAAGTGTGAGTTGGGCGATTATCCCACCCACCCCTCCCCACCTATGTTGTTGCAATCTCTCGCCTTGTCGTTTCTGGTTGTCTCCGGGTACCCCTTGTGACGGCATTGGTAAGTTGCCACGTCAGCAGACCACGTCAGCAGGACACGTCAGCAGGCTACGTAAGTACGTCAGCAGACCATGTCAGCAGGCTACGTCAGCAGGACACGTCAGCAGGACACGTCAGCATTGCCACGTCAGCAGCAAGGGATACCACATCAGCAGGCACCGGTCTGGTCTATGCTGTTGCGTTCACAGACAGCAGTCATGGACCAGAAGGCCGGGGAAACAGACAAGGCCTATCAAGCCCGCATGTTAGCCTGGAGTACCGAGACAAAGAAGCGGGCAGATGACGCTGCCGCAGCAGCAAAGAAAAGGGCAGAGGATGCCGAGCAGGCACGTCTGCTGGCGGTTGAACAACATCGCCAGCATGACGAGGCAGCAGCGAGGGCTGCCGATGAAGAAAGAACACAGTGTCGTGAGAAGATATTCACCGGAGAGCGGGCATTACTTACCATGGCAGCAGAATGGTGAAGCGAGGCCGAGAACAGCCAGTTGGAGGACAACGCAAACAAGATAGCGCTCCTCCTCTCGCATCTCACGGATCTCCTGGCAACCTACATTACACAGCAGGCGGAGATCCTTGGTCTCGACAACTCGGTGGCTCATCTCCAAGACCGCCTTCAGCGGGTGGAGCAGCGACCAGTCGCCGACGCCGACGCAGGCTCTTCCAATACTGCCGACCGCCTCACTGCATTGGAGATGCACGTCGGCTCCCTCCAGGACGGCGCACAGTTACAGCAGACTGCGACGCAACAGCTGCAGCAGCGGATCTGCACTACCGCCACCACCTCGAGTCCGGAGCCGCGCGAGACAGCTCCTAAGTTCGATGGGCAAGAGATCTTCCACGACTCAATCAAGACAGATCCAATTCCATGGTTTCGCAAGTTCGAGCTCACGTTGCAGCTCCACAACGTCAAGGAACACAAGCATCACGCCTACTTGTACTCTCGCTCAGGGGGCGCGTGTCAGGCGTGGTTGGACAACCTGTTGTCCAAGTACGGAGTGGTAGCTAACGACTTACACACCAAGATCACCTGGGATGATCTGAAGGCGGCGTGGCACAAGCGGTTCCAGGTGGAGCCGCCAGAGATCAAAGCCATGGACAAGCTCATGGTCTTCGAGCAAGGCACGCTGCCGAGTACGGACTGGATTGCCGAGTACCAACGCTTGACGTCAGTCCCAGACATCCAGATGGGCTTCAAGGCCATCCGCCACTACTTCATCTCAAGGTCATGTCCGACATTGGGCAATGCCCTGACGCATGTCGAGGACACCTTGACGACGACGGCGGAATTGTTTGACAAGGCTGCGCAGATCATCGTTACGAACAAGGAGGCCAAGAATCCCGTTCTTCTGCGTCAGGCCCGAGCAGGGACCAGCATCGGCCAAGAGTGGCTGTGGTCGCAGCGGCAACGCCCGTCGACCAATCCAGCGAGGCTGCGTCTGCCGGTGAAGGGGACAGATTCGCAGCAGCCCGGGAAGGTGGCCGCCCCGGCAGAGGCCGAGGTCGCGGCAAGCCGAAGACACACACCGTTTCTAGCCCCGGGCCCGGTGCAGCAGCTCAGACAGGCCCATGGACCCCGTATGGCATCACCGAGTCCGCCTACAAGGCACGCAAGAGATTCCATTACTGTCTGTGGTGCAACAGCGATCTTCATCAGACGCAAGGTTGCCCACTCAAGGGAAAGGGTCGACAGGGAAACTGAGCACCGCCGAGAGTGACGCGACGACACTCTCGATGCCTTCGGAACTGGTTTCTTCGCGAGTGACCAGCCTTCATTCCGAGGCGCACGCGGAAGTCGACAGTCCTCCGCTTCTATTTTCTTTTGAGGACTATGCTGCCCGGCTCGTTCCAACGCTGGGTACTCAAGCTCAAGGACAAGGAGTGTGTGCGGTTTCTTCTCCGTCCGGCAACAGCGACATATCGTCTTCAAGTGGTTCGTCACGGGATTCGGCGCGCGAGTTCAAGATAGAGGTTTTGGACCCGCTCACGTTTGAGGACTTTGCATGGCTTCCTCTCCCGACCACAGGCTGTTTGTTGGGACCGCAATGCGCAACACTCAGAGGGCATCAGTCCGCTATCGGACAAGATTCAGGCCGTCCAAGAGTGGCCGGAGCCTCGGAACGTCACGGATGTCCGCTCGTTCCTCGGTCTTACCGGCTACTATCAGCGCTTCATCAAAGGCTACTCCAAGATCGCGGCCCACTTGAACAAGCTTCAGTGCGAGGATCGGCCGTTTGACTTTGGAGAGGAGGCGCGGTGATCATTCCTCCCTCTAAAAGCTGCGCTATTGTTTGCGGAAGTCTTGCGGATATACGACCTGCTCGTGCCTACACGTGTCACTACGGATGCGTCACGCTATGGCATTGGTGCAGTCCTCGAGCAACATGATGGTGTGGACTGGCACCCGGTCGAGTACTTCAGCAAGAAAGTGTCACTCGTGCATTTCATTGACGATGCACGCAAAAAGGAGCTCCTCGCCTTCGTCCACGCGCTCAAGCGGTGGCGGCACTTCCTCCTTGGTCGAAGCCAATTTCGCTGGGTAACGGACAACAATCTGTCGGTCTTTTACAAGACCCAAGACACCATCAACAGCACCATCGCTCGATGGATGGCTTTCATCGACCAGTTCGACTTCTTTCCCGATCACATTCCTGGGAAGTCGAACCGTTTTACGGATGCTCTTTCACGGCG